TCGATAGCTTCTTTTGTAAAAAAAGATATATTTAAATCAATAATTACTACTTCATTTCATGTATTTAATCTCCAAATCTAAACATGATTAAAAATAAACAAAACTTTGTGTTGGCTTCCTTTGTTATCATAGATAAATGCATATCAATTAAGGTACGTTTACAGCAAAACCAGCCAATTTTAGACCCTACTCCCTCCTTTTTCATCGTGCATATAGTGCGGCAATTTTTATTTCGAATAACAAAGAACGGATATGATGACTTCGACGTTGTGATAAAGCATGGCACCCTGTACATGCATGGACAGCGGCAACATCCCCCCCCCCTCCAAGCTGGTCTTGTGAAAGGCAGAAATATGAAGGGGAGTGAACATGTTCGTAATAGTGATACGCATTTATCAAATTGCCTAAAACGTGTACACATTTGTACAGTATGATGCCTGAGCTAAATGTGGTAAGATTCCTTGTCGTTTTTCATGCTCTGTTCTAATTGATCTACAAAATGATGCGACTCAAACTAATTTCTTTGTGGATATGGTCTTTCTTCAGAACGGTAGATTACGATAGTAGTTTACACGTACATACATCTGAATCTAAATATGGTATCTTTTGCAAAGCTTGGAGTAATGATATGAAATAGTATTGCAATTAAATGTCGAAAACGAATCAAACTTCAATAGCAAGATACGTAGTTTACGTCTGCTCCTTTTGGAGGTTGGAGATGATTATGTTGACATATCTAGTGAACTTGGTGCATTTCTATTTTTCTAACTGTTAAGCCCCATTTCCACTCAAGAAAAATTTCCACGGACAGAAAATTTTCCGAAAGTGTCATTGTTAAAAGTTGAAAATTTTCAACTTCAAATTTTTTTTCCGACGGAAAATTTGTGTTGACCAATCATATTTCACAAAATTTTCTTTCCGCGGAAAATTTTCCTGAGTGGAAATGGTCCTTAACAATGCATTGAGCTCACTGGTGAAGCTCTGAAAAATATTACGTCTCGAATAGTATATAATAATTATGAATCACATAAAGCTTATTAATTATCACCGCTATAATATTTATGTATATATATATAGTTATCCACACAATCCCCCCAGATTAGCTAAAGCTATTCGCTATATCTTTATGTCTACTGCCTACTGGAATTATGAATTTGAATAAAATATTCATATCATACATACATACATACATACACGTGCACAAGGACCGATATACACGAAATAAATACTGTAATTTCAAATATTCACAGTACACTATAACTGCCACGATTGATTGTGATCAAGTATTAAAATGATTAAGATCCCCTTCCCTATATTAAATTGTTCAGTGTGCTATACCATAGTACTATAACGGCGTACTTTGTATGCATTTCCTCTCAAATAGCCGTGGCCATGTCCGTCATAATAACTTGAAGATGACCAGTCTTTCATTTGATTTACAGATTGTTTCACTTCAGAGTACGTTTGAGATGTTCGTTTGTTGTATAGAGGTAGTACTTCTGTCGCCTCGCCTAACACAGCCTACAAATAGCAAATAATTTAGTCGTGAATATTTCATGTTGTTAGTACGTGAATATTTTTAACTACCAATATGATGGTTTACGATAAAAAAATCCCCACTCCTTTTGCTAGCCTGCGTAGCAAGGGCTATTAGGGGTAAGGACGAGGGGGAGAACTGAGTGGGAGATGAGAGAAAGAGAGCGAGGAAAAATTTCGCCATTTTTCCTCGCTCTCATTCTCTCGCTTCGCCTCCCCCTCCTCCCCCTCCTAGTTTCTCCCACCCTCCACCCTAAAAGCGACTGCTACGCAGGCTACTCTTGCTTATTTGTTTTGTTTTGTAGAAATGCCACGTACTGTAGTTGACAAAGCATTCGATACGTAAGTCTAGATCGTCATTAGACTTAGAGTTAAGGATCGAAAGCTTTGTCCAATAAATATACGTAGTGCTTTCACAAACCAGAGAATTATACATTCTAAAAACACTCTGTTTAAAATTTCCTGGGTAATCTGAAATAACCCTAATTGGGTTAATTTTAATATTCCTGCTTAAACTTCCTGGTTATTTTATCTCACTTCTAACCAGAGGCGTAGCCAGGGCTGGGGGAACCGCCCCCCCCCCTGGCAAAAATTTGCCCCCCCCCCTGATAAAATGTATTGTATAAAAAAGGGAATCCTTGATTATATAGTTTCATGTTGAGACCCGTCGGAAAATTGTCAATGTTGTCGGAATCTTCGTGGCGAAGCATCGAAAATACGGAAATCGGGTGAAAAGTGCTACGAAAGCAATTATGTTATTGTCCGGAAAATGTTTTACCAAAAAAGTTGTTGACGGGTGTGTGTGTGTGTGTGTGTGATTTAAAATGTTGTGGCCCGAAAATTTTTTTGGCCCCACCTGGGTTTTTGCTGCCCCCCCCCCTGACCAGAAATCCTGGCTACGCCTCTGCTTCTAACCATACATAGTCTGGTGAATGTAATCAGAAATGTGGTTATATTTGTCCTTATTAAAATAACCAGATTATGTCAGGTGGATAAATAACCAGGGACCGGCAGGCCTGCAAATGAGTGCCGGTTATCGGACATGTCCGGCCAAATTTTACCTTTTGTCTGATCAAAGCTTTTTATGACCGGACATGTGACAGACCGATTTAGGCTGGTCAAATCTCCAATCTCAAAAAATTGTTTATTTAACACATTTTTATTAATGAAACCAACAAGAAAGCAATACAGACAGCACTTCTCCACTATTTCTTGCTGCATTAAGCCATAAGATTTAATTATAAATCTACATCACCTTCGTATACATGGTAGAATTTAAGTTACGTATAACCTGAACCATAATTTACTGATGCATTAGGGTTGGTAGATATATACTAAGTTTTAGATGCATTGCAGTACGAAGTACGAACTAACATGACCAGGCAAAAAAATACATCGTGCTAATTTTCAAAACAAAATATGAAAAATTTTACTTTGTCCATTGTCCGGGAAAAATTGATAAATGTTCGACCAATTTTTGGCTTGGCCAGACATTTGTGTCCTTCCAAGTAAAAGAATTATTTGCAGGCCTGGACCAGGTGTAGATATGGGTTACCAAATATTTCTGTATCTAGAATGGTTAGGGCGTGGACTTTAGGGAGGCACGGTGGTTACTACTCGCACATGTCTCTCACCCCTTCGACATACTGTACAGCTTAATTTCTTCAATATATAGTCATCTCGCCATGCATGTAAACATACAAGGAACTTACCATACATATATTGCAAATAATTATTTAATTGCTTGGAAAGACAGATGTCCGATCAAGACAAAAAGTCGTCGGACATTTATCAGTTTCTCTCCGACAATGGACGAAGGAAAATTTTTCATGGTCTTTTATGGACCATTTGCATTATACACTAACGCCCGTATTCTAAAAGCTCACTCACACTCAATGAGTGGAGGTTCAATCTGAGCTTCTCTGGAGTGTTATTGCTGTTTTTGAATAGTTGGAGGGCTAGTGTCATACCTTACTATGTGATTACTCACCCTGCATGCAGCTATTCAAAAACAGCATTGACACTCAAGAAAAGCTCAAATTGAATCTCCACTCATTGAGTGTGAGTGAGCTTTTAGAATACGGGAGTAAATTTTGATCCAAACAAGTCTAGACAAAAATTTCATCACAACTTGAAAGAGCATCACAAAATTAGTAATATTCCGAAGTTTCGTTGCGAAATGTTGTAAAATGCGGATAATATAGCCTTGCGAAGTTTGCCGTTTTTCAGTCATTTTGTATTACAAACGGAAATTGACAGCCCCAAAGGGTATTGGGCTGTCAATTTCCCCCGCGTAATGCAAAATGACTGAAAAACGGCAAACTTCGCAAGGCTATATTATCCGCATTTTTCAACATTTTGCAACGAAACTTTGGAATATTACTAATTTTGTGATGCTCTTTCAAGCTGTGATGAAATTTTTATCTAGACTTGTGTAGATCAAAATTTAGTCTATAATGCAAATGGTCCATTAGCATGATGTATTTCGGCTGGTCATGATGATCTGCACTGCAGTGCATCTAAAACTGAGTATAAATCTACAAGTCCTATATACTACATTTTCCGTAATTATGGTTCAGTTATACATGATAACTTTAATTTCTACCATGTTATAAGAAGACGATTTATATTTGTAATTAAATCTTACGGCTTAACGCAGCCAAGAAATAATGGAAGAGTGTTGTTTATATTGCTTTGGTTTCATTAATGAAATTGTGTTCAAAATCAATTTTTTTAGGCCCGTTTCATACGCCGTACTTCACATGTGCCGAATACATTAAAAACAATAGATAATGAGGCATTTCAGCTCATTATCTATTGTCTTTAATGTATTCGGCACATGTGAAGTACGGCGTATGAAACGGGCCTTAGATTGAACATTTGACCAACCTAAATCGGTCGGTCACATGTCCCACCATAAAAAGCTTTGATCGGACAAAAGGTAAAATTTGGCCGGACAATGTCCGATGACCGGCACTAATTTGCAGTCCTGTATTGCATTGGTACGAAAATGTTTTGATCTCAAATCATTGTGCAAAAAGGGTTAATGGGCGGGAGGGGTTGATTAGTAGAAATTCCTAAAAAGATAAAGAGGTTCCTATATACCGAAAACCGCGCCCTCCAATTTTTTAAAAGCTTAGAGTAATATCAGCACTAAGATGGGAGGTCGTATATGTTCGGTCATATATAGGATGAACCCTATAACTTCTGTACAGTTCAGTGATGAGTTCTACCTTAATTACATACTAGATATTGACAGGTAGGTATAGTTAACTACCTTGATATATATGAGAGCGTCCGTGCCGTATCCCTCCATTGAAAACAACTGCAAATCACCTCCAAAATATTTAGCGTATAATCTTGATAATGGTAACCCGTAGCCATAGCCAGCCTAAAATGTTCAAACAAATTGCTAGATACGTATACTGGTGTTTCAAGCAAAAGCACTTGGTGGGTTTCAGCAGGCATTACGAAGCAGCAGATGGCAGTCAACTTCTGCTGACACTTATACGAAATCAAGCAAATTAGACTACATCTCTCACGTCCATTTATTTGCATCCAAATACAAGAATACTCCAAATATAATGAAAACAACTAACTGGAGATTATCTGCTTACTCTGATAACTACCGGTTGACAACCATCTGCTACACGATAGAGATTCGGTGAAAACCCCCAAGCACTTTAAGATAAATCATTAAATCTAATAGAAATCCCATAGTCTAAAACATTAAAATCTTACAAGAGCTGGAACATCTCCGGTTGACACAGGCTGTGGTGCTGTCGTGTAATGATATAAGAACAACTGTTCTAGTTCACTTTTCGGAATCCCACCTCCACGGTCTGAAATCTACATTGAAAATTTCACTAAGTTGAGCTGGTGGTAAAGAATTTTTCCTTAGATCATGCAACTACAACATCCATGGTCTAAGTGTACAACTACAACTGTCTTTATAATGATATGTTTTCCCATCTTGTGTTTGACATTCCCAGTAACCCAAATCCCATTTTCCCAGGCCAAAAATAGGCAAATCCCAGTTCCATTTGATGGGTATTGTAGATGGAAATTGTCGAGTGTGAATTTATATACATTTAATATTAGACCTAACCAGGAACCAAAGCAAAAATGCAACTTTAGGTCCCTGGCAGGAATTGAACCTGCGGCTGCGATTCTGGTGCAGCGCTCTAACCAACTGAGCTACAGAGGCCAGTTGTCAAGCTCCTTTCAAGATCCTCTCTTAAAAATATACATTGTTTCCTCTGGGTATAAGTAACTGACATCCCTCTGATAATACCGGTATACAATTCTTCATGGCTTATACAATTTTCACTTTGCTGTTAATATTATCACTCACCTTAATTGTATGATCTTCCTTTCCTTTTGTAATTAAAACTTTCACCTCAGGCAGACGATCTTCTCCATTCTTTTCTACAACTGCCCTCATCGAGTTCTAAGGAAAAAAATCAAAAGCATTAAATGCAAAGATAAATCGTGCGTACCAAGGACGGATCTAAGAAATAGAGAATAATACAAGGATGCGCGGAAATACCAGATTTATTGGAAAGCGATAATTTTCACATGTAAAATTATCATAAATAATCTCACGTGTGAGATTCATTATCAGTGCTCGAAATCTCTATAAAGCACTATACTATATATAATAATAAAAGAGTAACATATAGTACGTTATACTGTACAACAATACCTTCAGTAATTCAAATACCATATGATAGAGATGTGATGGTACGTATGTCATTCTGATTGGAATACGTTCATTGTCTTCTATTGCTGTAATACACCGAGAAATATCAATGTTAGAGAATGTTCTCCGAAGTGTCGTAACCATGCTTAGGGTGCAATGGAACCATTTTTAAAAGTTCTGGGCAGAACTGAGTTCAGATGCACATCCAAACCTTCTTCTTACCGTTATGTTCTTCAATGATGACATCAGGTGAGCAAAGATACACTTGTTCACATAGAAATCTTGCATTGGTTGCTGCGTCTGGAACAAGGGACAATTTGTTAGCAAAAGTTTCTTGTACCAAATAGTGTAAAACATCATGATTATGGTTATTATAGTAGCTTACCAAAAACAACCGATGCAATACTGCATTCTTCATCGAAACAACCAATCCAATTGGTCTTTGATTTTCCTGCTTCTTCGCCGCAAATTAATACTGAAATTAGATATTGAACGAAATTAATTCTTGGACTGACAAGGATGAAATTCTGAATTATCGTTAGCAGGGCAAAGGATTTTACGTAACAAAATACTCGTAACTGACACTTGAAAGTCACAGTAAGTACTCACAGTGTTGCGTTATAAGTGTTCTGATTCCAATACGGTTCATGTAAAATCGATCTATATATAATGAAAGTAACACTATTATTTAAAGATCTTTAATTACAGAGCAACTTTTATGCTCTATTAGTCTCTATACATTTGATATCATAGCCTCCTGCTCCAAGACCAGCGAGGAAGGTTTACCATATGTGCAGTCAGTGAGGAAGGTTTAATGTGTTTTTTTTTCATTTTAATTGCTTAACAATCATATTTAAAGATCGATGGTAAAGACAACAGAACATAAGTCCCTTATTAAGTCCCACCAAAACATTACAAGACAAAGATTACGTTGAACATACAAAACCACAGAAAAATTACAATTTGTAATCTAATTGGAACAATTAACTAATTAGCTCGATGGGTAAATTCAAATTAATGTGGAACACTCTACTTTCTGGGGACCGCGTTTCTGTAGCAATTGTAATAGTGAGCTTAAGCAAGTGACGTTTTTGACAACACGGACGTCGACCGGAAGTAAGGTTGACGTTTTTCACCAATCACAGCCCTTGACCCAGTCTTCTGACGTTACTCATGTCGTTCGTGTTGTCAAAAACGTCACTTGCTTAAGCTCACTAATATATAGTACAGTACATCTGCTAGTAGCAAAATGAAAAGGCCACAATTTGCATTATTTTGAGAAAGATTTGAAAACCTGAAATTTTACCCGGAGGAAGGTTGAACACTTTTCGCAACTGTGACTGCCCCGTACATTAGGGTTTACATACCTAAAAAGTATTGTATTGATGGATGTAGAGCATCTTTACCATGACTCTCTTTCAGTTCTATAATTCCCTTTTGCATAAAAAAAAACATGAAAAATTGAGTCAATGAATAATTTACTGAACACTCTAAAAACACTCTGGTTAAAATTTCCTGGTTAACCTAGAAATAACCCTATTTGGGTTAACTTCACCAGGGGCTCCTGGTTATTTACCCACCTAACATAGTCTTATTACAGGGTTCGTACACCTTCTCCCATTGAAAATTCCATGACTTTTCATGACCATTTTTTTCAAAATCCATGACCTGGAAATCTGGAATTTCTGAAATTCGTTAATATTTTAACGATAACAGATATAATAATAAAAGAACAAAATTCACTTCGCTCGTGAAAAAATCCGTTATATAACAACAATTCATATTATTGTTATGACTGGTAAATTGAAATAAGTAAAACACTTTGTTACTGTTATGTAAAATTTCAATTTTCCATGACTTTCCATGACTAAAATTGATTTCCAGGCCTGGATTTTGGAATATTGAAATTCCATGACTTTCCAGGTTTTCCAGGACCCGTATGAACCCTGTTATTATTTAACAATAACCAGACAACGGTATTAATAATAATTTAATAATAACCAGAAAAGGTTAAAATAGCGAGAAAACGTTAAAATAACCAGAAAACGTTAAAATAACCAGGATAAGGTTAAAATAACCAGAAAACGTTAACATAACCAGAAAACGTTAACATAACCAGAAAACGTTAAAATAACAAAGAAAATTAACAATGAATATTAACCTACATTTCTATGTTAACCAGGAGGATTAACCAGGAATTTTAACCAGAGTATTCCTATAGAGTGTATGTTTTTTTTAAGGCAAATATGAGATTAAACCATTATCATCAGCTTCTGTGCAGCTGCATATAGGTGGAGAGGAGATAACCACTGCACACTGTATATTAGGAGACTAAAGCCCTGTTTACACTACACTCAATTTTTGGTATGGCACAGATAAAACTGGTACCCATACCACTTTTTTGGTTCTTGGACTACCTAAATAGGTAGTCCAAGAACCAACAAGGTGGTGCTGTACCAAAAATCGAGCGTAGTGTAAACGGGGCTTAAGTAATCATTTATAATACCTGCGCCATAGTTTCAACAACTGTATCATGACGGGAACGGATTTTTTTTAAAGCAAGATCAAATCTTTACAAAGAAAAAGGTACTATTGTTTAACAAACAATAAAATGTCAGTCTATTTTACTTAATTAATGTCAGAAATGCAATTTCTCAAATAAAGGAACAATGCAGTGCATAATATATACCTTTACTTATGCTTTATTTATTATTCAAATTATAAGATGTACAAACTGATTAAAATTTCAATATGAATTCATTAAAAATTTCTAGAAATACAGCAATCTAATACCCAATGATTACCAGCGCTCTCACCTTGACGAGCAAAATTGCCTGGTGTTATAAACAGAGTACAATAATACAGTAGAGTGCATTGGGGTTATTATAACATGGGGGTTATTATTATAAGCTGGTTTTCCACTGGGCAGAATTTTGTGCGTGGTGTGGACTTGTTCTTTCCAGGTGATCTCGTGTTCGTATTTTAGCCAATCAGCGCTCAGAAAGGGTTGTCCAAATAGAAATCCATTTTGATGTATTCAGTCAATTATATCTTTCGTTATTCTTTATGAAACTAGTTGAAATTTTGTAATTATGTTTGGTTATGAGAACTATAGCTCTGATAAAAATATGGAATCGAAATAAAGTATATTACAGGAGATATTCAGTTGTTTTAATCATAAAATGGATTTCTATTTGACAACTAGTGCCAGTACTTTTCCGCGTATCAAGATCATCTGGTTGTCTTGTGATTTGTTGGGTCGAACTATTGCAATCAGAACAGACAACGAAAAATTCCGCTCCCCGTGCAAAATTCTGCCTGGTGGAAAACCAGCTATAATGGGTTAATGACTGAACAGATATTTTGATGTGATGTAGAATCAAACATACTTATCTGCCATCTCATTTTCACTTTTCCCTCTAATCTTTGCAAATTCTATTAAATCCTCAAAACTTCGATGGTACCTGGTTTAAACAGCACAAAATGAATAATCACATACTTTTAAACTAATAAGATGAATTCATTTTTTAATGTGATCACAAAAAGTAGTTCAATACCAGCTTTGCACAAGTTCAACAGATGGCATCTTCAGTAAGTTGACAGGCAGATGGTTGATTTCACGGATGATGTGTGCCAAACGAACAGGCATTTGATGACGGCAAAAATGGAATGATTCAAGATGTGAACCATTTTTACCTGAGAAAAGAAGAATGATTACATGACATTACATACTGTATACATGAAAACATGATCAATTCGATCCTATCATTGGTTGAGAGCTGTGCCACTCTGTGACTAGGAGGCTTTATTTTTATTAGCCAGGATCGTGAAAAAGAGCATCCAATGTTGGTATAATGACACATCTA